AGTGATCTGAATAGAGAAATAGTATAGTGAATAATATAGAGAATAGCGGTCCGTATAGTAATAGAGGATAGAATAGAAATGGTGATCCGAATAGTAATCACTATATAGTGATCTGAATAGAGAAATAGTATAGTGAATAATATAGAGAATAGCTGTCCGAATAGTAATAGAGGATAGAATAGAAATGGTGATCCGAATAGTAATCACTATATAGTGATCTGAATAGAGAAATAGTATAGTGAATAATATAGAGAATAGCGGTCCGTATAGTAATAGAGGATAGAATAGAAATGGTGATCCGAATAGTAATCACTGTATAGTGATCTGAATAGAGAAATAGTATAGTGAATAATATAGAGAATAGCGGTCCGTATAGTAATAGAGGATAGAATAGAAATGGTGATCCGAATAGTAATCACTGTATAGTGATCTGAATAGAGAAATAGTATAGTGAATAATATAGAGAATAGCGGTCCGTATAGTAATAGAGGATAGAATAGAAATGGTGATCCGAATAGTAATCACTGTATAGTGATCTGAATAGAGAAATAGTGTAGAGAATCATATAGAGAATAGCGGTCCGTATAGTAATAGAGGATAGAATAGAAATGGTGATCCGAATAGTAATCATTGTATAGTGATCTGAATAGAGAAATAGTGTAGAGAATCATATAGAGAATAGCGGTTCGTATAGTAATAGAGGATTGAATAGAAATGGTGATCCGAATAGTAATCACTGTATAGTGATCTGAATAGAGAAATAGTGTAGAGAATCATATAGAGAATAGCGGTCCGTATAGTAATAGAGGATTGAATAGAAATGGTGATCCGAATAGTAATCCCTGTATAGTGATCTGAATAGAGAAATATTATAGTGAATCATATAGAGAATAGCGGTCCGTATAGTAATAGAGGATAGAATAGAAATGGTGATCCGAATAGTAATCCCTGTATAGTGATCTGAATAGAGAAATAGTAGAGTGAATAATATAGAGAATAGCGGTCCGTATAGTAATAGAGGATTGAATAGAAATGGTGATCCGAATAGTAATCCCTGTATAGTGATCTGAATAGAGAAATAGTATAGTGAATAATATAGAGAATAGCGGTCCGTATAGTAATAGAGGATAGAATAGAAATGGTGATCCGAATAGTAATCACTGTATAGTGATCTGAATAGAGAAATAGTATAGTGAATAATATAGAGAATAGCGGTCCGTATAGTAATAGAGGATAGAATAGAAATGGTGATCCGAATAGTAATCCCTGTATAGTGATCTGAATAGAGAAATAGTATAGTGAATAATATAGAGAATAGCGGTCCGTATAGTAATAGATGATAGAATAGAAATGGTGATATGAATAGTAATCCCTGTATAGTGATCTGAATAGAGAAATAGTATAGTGAATAATATAGAGAATAGCGGTCCGTATAGTAATAGATGATAGAATTGAAATGGTGATATGAATAGTAATCCCTGTATAGTGATCTGAATAGAGAAATATTATAGTGAATAATATAGAGAATAGCGGTCCGTATAGTAATAGAGGATAGAATAGAAATGGTGATCCGAATAGTAATCCCTGTATAGTGATCTGAATAGAGAAATAGTATAGTGAATAATATAGAGAATAGCGGTCCGTATAGTAATAGAGGATAGAATAGAAATGGTGATCCGAATAGTAATCCCTGTATAGTGATCAGAATAGAGAAATATTATAGTGAATAATATAGAGAATAGCGGTCCGTATAGTAATAGAGGATAGAATAGAAATGGTGATCCGAATAGTAATCACTGTATAGTGATCTGAATAGAGAAATAGTATAGTGAATAATATAGAGAATAGCGGTCCGTATAGTAATAGAGGATAGAATAGAAATGGTGATCCGAATAGTAATCACTATATAGTGATCTGAATAGAGAAATAGTATAGTGAATAATATAGAGAATAGCGGTCCGTATAGTAATAGAGGATAGAATAGAAATGGTGATCCGAATAGTAATCACTGTATAGTGATCTGAATAGAGAAATAGTATAGTGAATAATATAGAGAATAGCGGTCCGTATAGTAATAGAGGATAGAATAGAAATGGTGATCCGAATACTAATCCCTGTATAGTGATCAGAATAGAGAAATAGTATAGTGAATAATATAGAGAATAGCGGTCCGTATAGTAATAGAGGATAGAATAGAAATGGTGATCCGAATAGTAATCACTATATAGTGATCTGAATAGAGAAATAGTATAGTGAATAATATAGAGAATAGCGGTCCGTATAGTAATAGAGGATAGAATAGAAATGGTGATCCGAATAGTAATCCCTGTATAGTGATCTGAATAGAGAAATAGTATAGTGAATAATATAGAGAATAGCGGTCCGTATAGTAATAGAGGATAGAATAGAAATGGTGATCCGAATAGTAATCCCTGTATAGTGATCTGAATAGAGAAATAGTATAGTGAATAATATAGAGAATAGCGGTCCGTATAGTAATAGAGGATAGAATAGAAATGGTGATCCGAATAGTAATCCCTGTATAGTGATCTGAATAGAGAAAAAGTGTAGTGAATCATATAGAGAATAGCGGTCCGTATAGTAATAGAGGATTGAATAGAAATGGTGATATGAATAGTAATCCTGTATAGTGATCTGAATAGAGAAATAGTATAGTGAATAAAATAGAGAATAGCGGTCCGTATAGTAATAGAGGATAGAATAGAAATGGTGATCCGAATAGTAATCCCTGTATAGTGATCTGAATAGAGAAATAGTGTAGTGAATCATATAGAGAATAGCGGTCCGTATAGTAATAGAGGATAGAATAGAAATGGTGATATGAATAGTAATCCCTGTATAGTGATCTGAATAGAGAAATAGTATAGTGAATAAAATAGAGAATAGCGGTCCGTATAGTAATAGAGGATAGAATAGAAATGGTGATCCGAATAGTAATCCCTGTATAGTGATCTGAATAGAGAAATAGTGTAGTGAATCATATAGAGAATAGCGGTCCGTATAGTAATAGAGGATAGAATAGAAATGGTAATCCGAATAGTAATCACTGTATAGTGATCTGAATAGAGAAATAGTATAGTGAATAATATAGAGAATAGCGGTCCGTGTAGTAATAGAGGATAGAATAGAAACATAGATCGGAATAGTAATAGAGGATAGAATAGAAATGGTGATCCGAATAGTAACAGAATATAGACTAAGAAGACAATCGTTAGTCGTCAGCTTCTTCCTAGATATATGCGTTTCCTCTAAGGTCACGTGGTCTACTTAATTCAACAATGAGATCACCTGTCTTTGCTCACTGGCGATCTATGTTCAAACTCAAGTGTTAACAGCGACACTATTCTTATATAACAATTTAGCTTGGTAAGGCTCTTCTCTTGACTCCTCTTCGTACTGTCCATTTTTAATATTTTTTCTTGATCCTTCAAATCAATATACTCTTCCCACCTTTCGTTCATCTCTTGGCTACTGTTCGGCCTACGGTTGTTGTTTTTTTTCATTCCTTTCTTGTTTTAATCTTTGTGTTTCAATTTTTTTTTTTTTTTTGGGGTTTTTTTTTCTATTCATTTTCCATCATTTTATTTTCCTGTTATTTCCCGCTCCCGATATTTGTTCGTAACGACACGATTTTTTTTTCTTTATGGCCTTCCATCTTTTGTTAACAAAACTCAATTCAATTGATCTAATTACAAGTCTTTTCCATTAAAGCACTTTCGATATTTTTGTTATTGAATGTCGAATAAAAAAAAAAAAAAATGAAAATCGGAACGCTTCTTATCGAGAAGCACGTTGAGCACAGGAAAATCAGAAACAGACAAAGTTTATTTCAACGTCTCAAAGGTGAAATCCTTAAAAAGGCAAAACGGAAACAAAACTCGTCATAACAACGAAACAGCAATTAAATCCAATAAATTAAATAAGCATTCTCCTGGCCGTTTCAATAAGGCTATTCTCGCTTTCCAAAGGTTTACTTATGCTTGGACTTAATTATTATTTATTTATTTTTCTGTCTTCTTTTCCCCCTGGTCCTAGGTATTCGTGGGACGCTTACTTTATAGTCGCTTCCGTGCCACATTCCTCTCACATAGGCATTTGGATAAGTTGTAGACCGACGCATCACCGCCGACGCATCACCGCCGACTCAACACCGCTAACTCAACGACATACAAACTTTGAACATTTTTGGTCAACTTTTTAAAAACAAAGTAATTTATTAAGGATCATTTCTAAAACATAACTTTTTGAAAGCGAATAAAAGTAATTGATTAAAGATCATTTTTAAAACATAATTTCTTAAAACCGAATAAAAGTAATTTATTAAGGGTCATTTTAATACATATTTTTAATTTTAAAAGCCTTGATTATTTAGAGCTTTGATCATAACGCAAAAATTTTATGTTGCTGTCTTTTTGTAAACTTATATACGAACAAATATCCTTTGTGTGTAAATTTTTCTTTTCCTCTTTTACTAAGAATTTCTATTTTGGGTGTGATGAAAAGTTTTAAAATTAATCACCAGTCACTCAAAAGTGGTTATTGTAACTAATAAATCACCAAGATAAACAAACTTTCAACATTTCTACGATTTAAAGCCGATCTAGATGTGCACACTATGACAGCCAACATCGGTGGTGAGTCGGCGGTAATGAAATGTCCTCTCCCGTTCCGATAAATACCACTTTTTTATATTTGTTTTGGTTGTTTTTGTTTAGCAGCATATCAATCTCTATTGGTTATTTTATGCCTAAATCTAAATATATTGTACGCAATTTTATTTTATTGGTGGGAGGGAGATAATAATGATTTAGTGGTAAAAGTTACTAATTAACCCATAGCTAGAGGAGAAAAGGTAGATTCATACCTTCACCAAGGGAATTTGCGTGAAAGTGAATATAACCAAGCCTACTGGAATTGAAACTCGGCTCTGCGTATGACACTTCCAAGCTTTTATTCATTACACCACCGGCACATCCAAGCTTACAGCACCTGGTATTCCTAAGCGGTCACCCACCAAGGTACTGACCAGGCTCGGCGTTGCTTAACTTCGGCTATCGTTCGAGAACCGGTTTTTGAACGTGATGTGGTCTTTTAGGATATTGGCGATCATGGCTCGCCACAATTTCTTGTTTTTTTTTCTTGTTGCTTAAAGTAACCAGTCAGAGATGAGCGTTGGTATTTTGCGTTATGTGAGATGTGGCGTAATGGATAACGGCTCCAGATGGGAAATCAGAGAGCCAAGTTCTTATCGCAGTCGGGTTCGTTACATTCACTTTGGTGCAAATACCCTTGGGAAAGATCTGAATTCATGTCTTCATACCCCGCCCCCCGCTCCGCTCACTCCCAGCAATGAGTTGGGTTGAAGGATAATCTCAATCCTATAGACTTGGTTGTTAAGAAATATACCGCAGAAAGAAACGATAGCCTATTGCGGGCTATTGTGTCGTGCCAGAGAGTTTCTCTCGCCGAGTCCAGCCTTCAAATCTATAAATCAACCATCCGTCCTTTCATGGAATATTGCTGTCATGTATAGTCTGGTTCCCCCGCTGTACGTCTCGAGGTCCTCAACAAAATCCAGAGACGAATATGCAACATCATAGGTCCTGATCTGGCATCTAGTCTACAATCGCTATCCTAAATATGTGCCGTGGCCTCCCTCTGTCTCTTCTATAAGTATTTTCATGGTAACTGTCCCGACGATCTACTTTCGCTGGTTCACGGACTACATGAATTTAAACATGGTAACCAAGCTAGCATCCCGGTCTCACCCTTTCACTGTCAAAACGGTTAAATGTAACCATCTCTTCTTCTCAAACAGCTTCTCCAGCACTTCCCGTCTGTGGAACTCCCTTCCCCTTACTTGCTTCCCCGATGACTATTAATCTTCAAATATTCAAGTGTAATATCAATCTGACACCCTGAACTTGTTTCTCGTACTCCTCTGTATCCTTTCCCCAAACACGCCTCTTTACTCTTGTTCTCAATCCTCTGTAACCCTTTGCGTGCTAGTGGCACTCCCGCTTTACTTGGGGTGAATTGCCTTAAAAAGAAATTTAAAAAAATCATCTTCCCGGCCAGTCATCAACTGAAAGAAACATGATCGCCCAAGAGTGTACCACTCAACTTTTATTGAAAATAGAAACGTGCTATCGTTATGTGAGGTAGGGAAAACAAGGTTTGGTAATTTCGTGCAAAATAATAGAAAATAATACAATTTACGTCAGGTCAGATTACTTGATTTAACGTCTGATCAACACTTACAGGGTCACTCAATGTCGACGTCAGTCTCTCGTTGTTTTCATTGTTTTATTTTTATTTCATGTCCATTTTATGTTTTTAATCTAGGACTAAATATATGTATCTTTCTAGTGGTTATCATTAGCTAAATATTCCTGGTTATGACGATCAACTACATCCGGCAGCAAGGCCTTTGATCGGGAGGTTTTCACGAGTGTGATACAACCTCTTAATTTCTATCGTTCCCAAGTCCACACTGAACCGGCTGTTAGGCTCCCAGTATTGGCAAACAGCGAACCCCCAAGTAAAACACTATGAAAATATATTAAAAAAAATTTTTATAGTTAAAATACCAACAATACATTTTTATGTAAAACATAGCAACAATACTTATTTATAATACAATTAGCAAGAATACCTATTTATAATAAAATTAGCGACAATACTTATTTATAATAAAATTAGCAACAATACATTTTATCTGTAGCTGAAGGCATACAATTGCGTTCAAAATATATTTAGTTGAAGCCATAAATGGTGTTCAAAATATTGAGATTTCGGCATTAAATGGCCCATATAGGTGTTGATGTGCCGTTAGTCAAAAATCAATCATCAGAGCAACACGAAAGAATTATTTCATGACATTGTTATGTATAATATCCTAGAATTTTTAAAAATCAAACTGTGTTCCAAAATATAGGTTAACTACAGCATAAAAAGCCTCTAATAATGCAATTTTATGTGACACTATGAGATGGATATATGCGCACGCAACATCTGTGTGTGTGTGTATTTGGTATACCCACATATGTGCGAGAAGATTAAATAGATTTGACCTGGGTATCAAACTTCAAGACCCAATGACTAGATTAGGAATCTAGATAAAAACATGTTTTGGACATATGGCCAAAAGGGTAGATAAGTGTTAAGTACTTGTCAAAATACGAAGATAGTTAAAAGACCGGCTTTGGTCAAAACTTAAAAGGGTCTGAATTTAATGTCCCTGGATCGGAGTCATCTAGGTTAAGAAATATTTCTATGTCCACTTTCTTCAAAGGGAGAAATGGTCATGAAAAAGTTATGGGTTTATTCGTGGGTGTCCCTTCCCCGGAAATGATGACAGAGGTCTCTATATATATACGGAAACGCTTGGGTTAGTGACAGACTTAGTTTAGGTCCGAGGAAGGTTGATTCAGGCCGGAGCAAGTAACAACGAAGAGCGACACCCTAGCAGCCGGACATTGTTAGTTAGGATATATATTTTTTTTGCCAGCCGAGAATCAGCCCAGAGTTAACTATCCACAAAAGGTCACACGCCCTCCCTCCTTTTTCGTTCTACCCAAGTTTGTAGTTGTGTTTTTTTTTTTATGTGAACCTGCCTTTCGCTCGATCCACCGCACAGAAATTCTACGACGTGTGGTCTATATCTTGTGCAACGAGTGCAGAGGTGGGTAGTCTCACATTTACGTCAGGTCAGATCACACAAACATATATATGCACAAAATCTGGATATCTTCTACCATCTATTCACTTGTGAAAGCAGAATAACAAAAGCTTCGAAACAAATTAATTTTCGGCATTAAATGACCCTTAAGCTGTTGATGCACCGTTAAACAGACAAACAAGGTACCTAAAAAAATATTAGCATCATAATAAAAACAAAACAACGGAAAGTCATAGAACCAGATGACATTCACAGAAACATCGCATGAGGACTTGACTTGATAACCCACACTACTTGAAACAAAAAGTTAGTAAGGAAACGTCCATCGAACTGGAAAAAGCGATAACTGTGTGAGACTACCCACCTCTGCACTCGTTGCACAAGATATAGACCCCACGTCGTAGAATTTCTGTGCGGTGGATCGAGCGAAAGGCAGGTTCACATGCAAAAGAAAAACACAACCACAAACTTGGGTAGAACGAAAAGAGGAGGGAGGGCGTGTGACCTTTTGTGGATAGTTAACTCTGGGCTGATTCTCGGCTGGCAAAAAAATATATATATCCTAACTAACAATGTCCGGCTGCTAGGGTGTGGCTCTTCGTTGCTATTTGCTACGGCCTGAATCCCTTCCTCGAACCTAAACTAAGTCTGCCACTAACCCAAGCGTTCCCGTATATATAGAGAGACCTCTGTCATCATTTCCGGGGAAGGGACACCCACGAATAAACCCATAACTTTTTCATGACCATTTCTCCTTTTGAAGAAAGTGGACATAAAAATATTTCCTAGCCTAGCTGACTCCGATCCAGGGACATTAAATTCAGACCCTTTTAAGTTTTGACCAGAGCCGGTCTTTTAACTATCTTCGTATTTTGACAAGTACTTAACACTTATCTACCCTTTTGGCCATATGTCCAAAACATGTTTTTATCTAGATTCCCCATCTAGTCATTGGGTCTTGAAGTTTGATACCCAGGTCAAATCTAACTAATCTTCTCTCGCACATATGTGTGCTAAAAAAAGGCAACACACAGATGTGGATGTGTATATACACACACAACACAGATGTGCAATACACACACACGCGTGCGCATATATCCAACTCATAGTGTCACAACTGTAGCAAATAACAAACACCACATCGCTTGAGGAATACCAACAGTCGTAATAACTAAAATGGATAGCAGATGTAACTCGAAGAGAAAATAATGACATAATCAAAAAGCTGGCATTCTACACTACTCCCAACATAAGGTTAAGAAAGATACCTCCATCCATACTGGAAAGAGCTATAACAACTACTGGACTTGAGAAAGCTATTTTCCTGAAAAATTGTTCAAGGAGAACGATTTTTTTAATAAATTTCAACCGACAGAAAATAATGATATAAGCAAGAAGTTAGCATTCCACACTATTCCAAACAAAAAGTTAGGAAGGAAACCCCCATCAATAATGAAAAGAACGATAACAGCTACTGGACTTGAGAAAGCTATTTTCCTGAAAAATCGTTTTATGAGAAAGATTTTTATAAATTTCAACCGGTAGAAGTACTGGCTGCTCAGTCAATAAATGCAGAATGTTTCCTTATAAGGAAACGGTTAATATTACCATTAGCACTACTAAATCAGAGAATTATTCTCTATGAGTCCTTTATCACCAATCTTTATTGATACTGAAGTCAATCCCTGCAGACAAAGATAAACAGCGAATAAGCGCTCATTTCTTCAAACACGAACAACAGTCACCAGTAAAAATGTCCGTATGTTATCTGCAAAAGATTCCTGCATCGCATACACTACGAATCCACAGGCTCAAAATATTCTAGTTTTATCAATATTTTTATTCTTGAATATTTGGGTATAATCTTGGTTTCGTTGTTTTTCAAATGATTCGGTGGCTTTCTTTATTACATTTGCCGGGTTCATTTAAAAATAAACAAATAAAAAGTAATTATACAACCAGAAATAATTGAAATAATGCAATTATAACAATTATAATTAATATAAGTACGATTCAACGTTTCTAACGCAATGAGAGTCAACCCTACTCCTCTCCTCTACCCGCGCCCAGGCACGTGACGTGCACAGTATCAGGCAACCCGAGGGTTAACCTAAATTTCGTCTCCTTTCCTTTTCCGGCCACAATGATAATATTTATCTCTTCTTAACACTCATAACTAAAATTCGAAGGAGGAAAACTCCTATTTTATCAAGAGCTACAAAGGACGGGGAAATGCTGGAAGCCATAATCGCCAACATGGAGGAGGAGGTGGTATGGGAAGAAGAAGAAGAAGAAGAAGAAGAAGAAGAAGAAGAAGAAGAAGAAGAAGACGAAGAAGAAGAAGAAGAAGAAGAAGAAGTGCCCATATAATTTAGTTGGGGAGTTTTCTTACCTCGAA